CTCGGGGGTAACAATCCTTTGCTCGAGTAGATGCTTGAGCGGCTGCTGGTCGGTCACGATCCGAAAGCGTCGCCCCAATAGATAATGCCTCCAACACCTTACAACCTCGACAACTGCAAGCATCTCCTTCACGTACACCGATAGACCCAATCGAGTAGTGCCTAGTGCCTTGCTTAGATAGGCTAAAGGTCATCCCTCTTGCACTAGTACAGCCCCAATACCAATGTCGCTTGCATCTGTGTGTACCTCGAACAAGACATCAAACCTTGGCATGGCGAGCATTGGCATTGTAGTCATGGCGATCTTTAGTTTCCCAAACGCCTCATCGCTAGCATTGGTCCATGTGAACCCGCCTTTCTTAGTCATCTCTGTCAGCGGCTTGGTGATGGTTCCATAATCTTTCACGAACTTTCTGTAATAGCCCGTAAGCCCTAGAAATCCTCTCAGCTGTGTGAGACTTGTCGGTTTAGGCCAGTCGACCATAGCCTCAATCTTTCGTGGATCAACCTTCACGCCTTCGTGGGATATGAAATGCCCTAGATACTCAACCATCTTCTACCCGAATGAACACTTGGACGGCTTGATATGAAACGAGTTGGCCTCCAAGATTTCGAGCACCACTCTCAAGTGCTCAAGATGTTCAACCCACGATTTTGAATAAATCAGGATATCATCAAAGAATACCAGAACGAACTTACGCAGATACTCCTTGAAGATGGAATTCATAGTAAACTGGAAAGTGGATGGGGTGCTGCACAGTCCGAATGCCATAACCAAATATTCATAGTGTCATTGGTGCGTACGAAATGCTGTCTTCGGGATGTCTGCCTTGTGGAGTCAAATCTGATGATAACCAGCTCTCAGGTCGAGCTTTGAGAAGTAACGTGATCCAGCTAACTCATTGAGCATGTCGTTGATACTCGAAATAGGAAATCGATCCTTGATAGTCGCGGCATTCAGAGCTCGATAGTCAGTACAGAACCTCCACGTGCCATCTTTCTTTTTAGCTAATAGTACTGGAGAAGAAAACGGACTCTTGCTATGCTGGATTAAACCTGACTCTAGCATCTCGGCCACTTGCCGTTCGATCTCAGTTTTCTGAAAGTGAGCATACCTATAAGGGTGGACGTGTATGGCATGCTGCTCATTGATCAGCGGTATGCGATGATCGAACTCTCGATGTGGTGGTAGTCCCTTAGGTTCGCCCAGTACTCCCTCAAACTCCCCGAGAAGATTGCGCACATTTCCTTGTTGTTGCTCGTCCTAGTCTATGTGCGCCTTAGTGTTCTCGACCACTACTGCAAAGATTTGGCCGCCACCTCGCCAAACTCTTTCGATGCTTTTCAGCCCTACTTCCTTGGTACCTTTTTCATTGCCAGCACTCAGAGTGACTTGTCAACCTCCAGAATTGAACTCCATAATTCCCGTTCGATAGTCGGTAGTCACCTTGCCCAACCCTTCGAGCCACTGTACTCCTAGAACAACATCTGGCCCAACCAAAGGTAAGGCATAAAGGTCAGCCTTAACAGTAACTCCGTTGAACTTGATTGGCACCTTCTGGAATGACTCAGTACATTGTAGCCTCTCTCCATTGGCCACTCAAACTTCAAAGGGCTCGATATTTATGGTCGGCAACTTCAACTTTTGGGATAGATCGGCGTTGATGAAGTTATGCGATGATCCGTTGTCTACGAGCATGATTACCCTTCGATCCTTGACCCATGCCGGTAGTCGCATCGTTCTTGGTCCACTGATTCCAGCCATAGCATGCATCGAGATTTCTGGCTCCTCATTGAATGCTTCAACCTCATCCTCCCGATGTGGTTCCTCCTCGACCTCAGCCTCCTCATCGTCGGAGTTGACCACCTCAAT